ACTTGTTTTTCAGAGTTTTCCTCGAGGTATGCTAAATCTCCTTTGAGGACAGCTCTGGCAACGAGGACAATTTTGGTAATTGAAGTTGCTCTAGGGGTGATAAGTCTGGAAGGAATTGGTCGTCGAATGGGAGTTGTTTGTAGTCTATTTACTGTAGTTGACCTTTGAGGTCGTACGATATTTCGAGTAGTTGGAACTCTTGAGGTTCTAGAACCTCTTGGTCTTCCTTGTGCCATTAAGTTTGAGGGAGGTGTTACTCTCAAAGAGAAGGAAATAGGGGTTGGATTTGATGACTTACTTGGTTCAAGAGAAATACACACAGATGGGAGGGTACACTTTTAATATGATACGTAGAATGTACACTTTAGAAATTTATACACTCGTTTAGAATATAAGAACACTGGTCAGCTAAATACGTAGATATAACACAAATTGATATACACTGGTACAAATATGAACACTTGTCAGTTCAAAATAGATGAGTATAGTATAGATTTTAATATACACTTGAAGAATATAAACACTTGTCAAAATACACTTGAAGAATATAAACACTTTGTCAATTCAGATAGATGAATATAGTACAGTTTTTTAATATAAGTTTGAGGGAGGTGTTACTCTCAAAGAGAAGGAAATAGGGGTTGGATTTGATGACTTACTTGGTTCAAGAGAAATACACACAGATGGGAAGGTACACTTTTAATATGATACGTAGAATGTACACTTTAGAAATTTATACACTCGTTTAGAATATAAGAACACTGGTCAGTTAAATACGTAGATATAACACAAATTGATATACACTGGTACAAATATGAACACTTGTCAATTCAAATAGATGAGTATAGTATAGATTTTAATATACACTTGAAGAATATAAACACTTGTCAAAATACACTTGAAGAATATAAACACTTTGTCAATTCAGATAGATGAATATAGTACAGTTTTTTAATATACACTTGTAGAATATGAACACTTGTCAAGATACACTTTGAAGAATATAAACACTTGTCAATTCCGATAGATGAGTACAGTACAGTTTTTGATATACATTAGTAGAATGTAAACCTTTTCAAGTCAGAAAGGAGATGCACTAAAAGACTTTGATGCAATTTTAACTGCACTTTAGGTGTATGAAAGAATTTGAGGTTTTCACTTATAGAGTCTAAGGAGAATTTTGAACAGGTCCTTTTCTAAAAAGAGACGTGAAACCACGCTCTGCTACCAAATTTTGTCAGGAATAAATCCAGACAAATAATGATTTTTAGTTTTAGAACCCTTTTTGAAATCTTGAAATCGAAATTTAGAAATGAAACACATTCTAAAAAGAGACGTGAAACCACGCTCTGCTACCAAATTTTGTCAGGAATAAATCCAGACAAATAATGATTTTTAGTTTTAGAACCCTTTTGGAAATCTTGAAATCGAAATTTAGAAATGAAACACGAGAATTCGGTCGGGCTGCGACCGGGGTGAAACCACCCTATTATAAAGTTGATATATTTGAGAGAATTGGATGACACTTGATGAAAATTGCTCGCGAAATCTCGGAGTAACCGCACACTCAAAAGCAGAGACTGGACTGTGTAGATCATTATGATTTTCGGAAACAGGAAAACTGTCCTTCAAGGACGAGATTCAGCAATAGGATTATCAGAGAAATGTAGCCTTGGAGGCTTCCGTAAGTTGCATGAGAACCGAGGTTTTCCGAGGTTCTCACAGAAAGTGGAGTTTTATTCTCAAGGACGAGAATTCGGGTTCTCAAACTCGTTTGCTAAAAATAGACCTGTAAAATTCGTGATAAAACCCCCCCCCTTCTGTTTCAGAGAACCGAGTTTTTTGGTTCGAAGGAACAGAAGGATGTCGCAACCTTTATGCTGATTTACTTCTTTTTACTCTTTTACTTTTACTGAGTTACTCAAAAAAGGGGGGAAGAGGGGAAAAGAAAGAAGGGCGAGCAAACTACTTCCGAACAGGAACAAAGCAATAAAGCAATAGAGGAACAAACAAGACAATAAAGTGTTCTCGCGAAAAAGTCTCCATGTGAAGTCGATTTTGGTGCAGCTGTTGAGTTGTGACGTCAACACGAGGGGTGTCTTGGTTGTCGTACCAGCAAATTGAAGGGTATGGTAGAAGTGCGAGCCTGAAGTGATTCAGTTTGTTGGAGTCCATCTTGCGAGTTGGAGGTTCCTGAGATCTGCAGAAATCTTTGAACAGTCCTTCAAGGACGAGATTTAGCAATAGGATTATCAGAGAAATGTAGCCTTGGAGGCTTCCGTAAGTTGCGTGAGAACCGAGGTTTTCCGAGGTTCTCACAGAAAGTGGAATTTTATTCTCAAGGACAAGAATTTGGGTTCTCAAACTTGTTCGCTAAAAATAGACCTGTAAAATTCGCGACATCTATTTCAGAATTGAGAAAATCCAGATCAATTATATAAACAAGCCAACAGCATTTAAACAAATTGAAAATGTTTAAACGCCTCACCTTAAAGAAAAGAGTGAAAGATAATTATACAGTATATAAATCGCAGCTTTCAGAGATATGTTTGTCATTTTCAATTTAAAATAAAATAAAACTCACCTTTTCCAAATAAGGCATATTTCATGATGGTTGGCACATTTTCCACCCGAGATTGGATGATTCCAACAGGTTTCTTGATAACGAACGTTAATCCACCGATGCCGATGTGATCCTGAAGGTTGTATCCCACTTTCAGGTTTTGATGACAGTAAATCTGGAAATAAAATATTTCAGTGATTACCGGAGGCACGAAAGAAACCGTTACCTTTCAAGGGAAAAGAATGATGAAGTTTCTAAAAGGCCATGACGGAAACAAAAGTGGTCGTAATAAAATCCCTGATTGATCAATAAAAAAAGAGGACCCAAAGCAGCCACACAAAGAATATTATTTTTTTAAGCCTAAAAAAATTGTGTAGCTGTTGGATGAACTCAGTGACAAACGAATACAAGAAATTAAAACTAAATCACAGCAATATTTTTTAAAGATTTCTCTGCCCGTTTCCGCTCAGGTGGATTTTCTTGGAAAATGAAATCGCTCGCTTCGCAAGACCTGCACGTTGGATTTAGGGACTTCTTACAATTAGTTGCCAACTTTCAACTAGCATGGATGTGCATTATCCCGAGAATTCCCCCGCATACAAAGCAAAACAAAATGCGTGACGGTTCACATAGCCGTGAAAATCAGAACCGCGACGCCTTTTCTTTTTCATTTGTAGCACGTTTATTCGTTTCTTTGGGGCGAGGCCGAACTCGTCCCGGAAGTTTCGTCACACAAATGATACAAGGAAGGACACATGAAAAAAAAGTAGACCCGCCTTCGACTTTTCTTTCCAGTTAATATGATTGGCTCTGAAGTAATTCGAAAAGAACGCCGTGATCACAATGCATTAAGGAGGCAAGCAAGAATAATTTTTTCAATGGTGGTACAATATTCTATTAAGTATGGAGATCGAACCTTCGACAAACTTTTTTTCTCCCGGAAGTAGCCAATATTGATAATCCCTGGCAGAGACCACACGCACGTTATGATTTTGAAAGGACTTTGAAAATTCGCCGGACGTTAGAGGAGTCCTTGAGTTTCACGCAGAAAATTACGGACAAGACGAGATACAATTTGATTGTACTTCGCATCTAAAAACTATGGACGTACGTAAGATAGAAAAAAATATTCATTTTTGGAGCAAAACGTTTTGTCTGAATTTTTACTCTATTACGGGGTCTAAAGTAACTGAAGTACTTTCTCATTTACCTTCCTTTGTACAGTAGGCTATGAATGAAAATGGGCGGTTATGTTCACTGGCGTGTTGACGTGAAATTCTTAAAATGAAGAGGAACCTTTAAAAATACATGTACGCACACGCAGTCGAAGATGAAAGGTAACTTGCAACGGTTTATGAATGCATGACGATGATGCCAGACGAAATCAGTGTCAGGTTTACTATTTTTCATTCGAATTCATGACACACTTGGAAAGAAAATAGGCTCGTAAAAAATTAAGGTCTAAATATTAAATACGCTAGAGAAAGTACTGTAGAGATACGTCTAATACCGTATTTTAATGAATAAGGAAGTTCCAAAGCTTATAAATGAGATTTTCTGATAAGAGTGCATCATTTCTGAGCTCAACGAATGCTGATAGACACAACATTCAAATGTCGATCAAGCAGATGTCCAGATTTAAATTGGGAATCAAGAATTCAAAAAGTACCGCTCCTAATTGAGGATTTTTATGCGAGATCTTTTTTTCTTCGGGTCCTGCAGAAGAGATGAACATTTTATATTCGAGTCATTACGGAAAGTCAAAGGATTCGAAATAATATTTGTTCATCAAGTGCCCAAGTGCTCCCAAGCTCGGACTAACACAATGCATTATCAAGGTTCGAATCACACAATGTTGTGCAGATTTAAATTCAATAAATCCTCGCGAGCATCATCAGTTGAAGTTAAAAAAATTTAATAACCCTGTCTTCCTTTTTTTTAAACTTTATTCTTCGGTGGCCTGAAAAATGTGCCTCATATTCGAGTAAATACGGGATATCAAAGAATTTTAAATTGTATTTGCTGTTAAAGTGCGTGAGTGATTTTGATTTCGAATCGACACGAAATTTACGTTCTAATCGAACAAAATTCAGTACATTTAAATTTCAACACACATTTTCGATTGAAGATCGCAGAGCAAAAGGCTTTCAAGCCTGCTTTTTCCTGTCGCAGGCAAGATAATTTTGCCTTCATTTACGAGATTCAAAAAATAAACGAGAAATGCCTAATACAGTATAATAAATTAAATTAAATGCGGAATGTCAAAGGCCTTAAAATTATAATTATAAGCTCTGATAAAGTGCTCAATTGCTCCTGATTTCGGACCGACACTATATATTTAAGTTCCAGTCATACAACGATGCATCGAGTCAAATTCAACAATTATTTCTTCGTGAAAATTTCCAATTTGAAATCAGAAAAATAGTTTCCACTTGAAAAAATAAAGAAAAAGAGAGGAATGCCTTATACAGTACAATACATTGAAGTAAATAAGGAACGTCAAAGGCTTTGAAATTATCTTCTCCCGTGAAGTGCACACAATTACTGTACTCCCCAGTTCGGGCCGACACAACATTCACGCTCTGATAATAAAAGTTGTATTAATTTAATTTTTAACCAACAAGTCATCGTGAACATTTCCTTTTTAAAATCAGAACAATCGTTTCCACTTTGAAAAAAAAAAGATAAATAGAGGAATGCCTAGCTTATACAACACATTGAAGTAAATGAGGAAATGTCGAAGGCTTCACGCCGTACGTTATTGCATCCACAAAAAAAAAAAGAAAAAAAAAGAAATCGAAGGCTTCACGCCGATATTGCATAAAAAAAAAGGAATCTAAACTCACGCCAAACTCCTGCAGGTGGCTGCACTCCCCGACTCCGGAATGCATGAGCACGTGCGGACTCATCAAAGCGCCGCCGGACAAAATGATTTCCTTCCGTGCTCGGACCACGTGGATCTCGTCGTACTTCTCGTACTTGACTGCCCACGCGCGCTTGTTCTCGTTGATCAGCACCTAGAGCACGTCCCGGCCGAGACAACAAATAACCAAGGCAACTTTATTACAACCATTACCATCGACTGCTGTAAATATATATAGAGAAGATAGCTTGACCAAAAGAAGGAGAAGAAGAACCCCGTGAAACACACATGCACACACACACAAAATATAAAGGGGGACATCACATCAGCCGCAGCAGCAGCAGCCGGATGTAAGAGCTGTTCGCGATTCTGCTGCTGCTGCTGCTGTTGCTTCTCTGGATGCTCGCACGCAATCACCGCGTTTTGTCTTCCAGCGGAGTGCTCACAACGCGATCAATGCAAATTGCACCAAATAATTACGCTCCGAAACGCTCCTTTTCACTTCATATTACTGCGGTATCTCGTTTCTATCAGACGGATCGAAATACTTCCGTTTTCCGTCTCCGGCTCACCCTTCAATTGAAAATTTTTGTCACGTTCAACAAAAAACGCTCTGTTGCATGTTACGATTCTCAAAACAAACAAAAAATCTTAACGACATTGAGCCAAATGAGGCGATTAAAATGCTTCTTCTGAGACAGGGTTCCAGTTTGTGTCAAAGTTTAAAAAATAAATAAATTCGATTTCGGAGAAGGACCCACCTTGTGGACGAATGATCGCATGGTAACGTGCAAATTTGGCCGTAATCGAGCTGGTCGAAGGAAAGCTTTTGCCGCACTGCATCGTGATCCTCGACGGATCGTTCCTTGAGGAATCACAAAGCCTGAAAAAAATTATCAAAAATTTAAAATTTTAAAAATTTAAGAAATGGGGCAGATTTTTCATCCAAGGATAACACAGTCTAGTAAACGTATACGAATTTTAAAATATGATATTTTATGAATATGCACAAGATATTAGGGTATAATTTGTAAAATTTTTAAACCACACATCGTCATTACAAGATCTCACACTGATGGACTGATGAGCAGTTTATTACTACTTGAATCACCGAAATGAACACAAATGAGTATTCTATGCTGATCGTCATTCTGATCATTTGAGATGATACTGATTTTAACAGGTTTCTCTGCAATTGTTGATAAAAAAAAAGAGTGGAATTCTCGAATCTGATAATCTAGAATTTATTTCTTCGTGGTCCATCTATACATGATTCCGTAACATTTCTTCTGGAACGATTCTATCATCGTTCTAAACCTTCCTTAAACACCGGGACGCTTTATACAATGATTCAGTGAATTGATGATTTTTTTGCGGATAAGTTTTTTGAAGAGCTACTCGTGAAGTCGTGATACTGTATAACAATAGAAATTCCACCGAGATCAAGAAAAATTCGCTGAATCGAGAATCACGCTGTGGACGGAATTATTGTTGAGAGAGGATCAGAGTTCCCATTTGTTCGAAACCTGCATAGGGAAAAAGGAATTCAAGCAAAAAATTTAGAACACGATTCCCTGATCACTTGATCGAGGGTTATCTAAAACTCAGATTTCATAAATTCATTGGAAAAGTTCCTATTTGGGTTTAGAACAAACAGTGAATATAGATACACGTTGCTCACGATTTTCCGTGAAGTTCAAGCATTATTGACTCCACAAAAAATAAAAGATAAAAACCGGACACCTATCTCACAGATATCGAACTCGCACACTGTTGAAAAAAGGGTGATTTGCATTTCAGGTCACAACCTCATCACTCTATAGAAAAACGTTGCCGTCATCGGGCTAGCATTATTTCTTCTTCGTCAACGAAAAGGATTCAATCTATGGCATGCAATACGCGGTCATTATATCCTATTGTCAAACAAAGAAAAAAGTGAGACGTTGTCGACGCGGAGGCACAACATTTACATCACGAAACTTTCTTGTACCGTGTGGGACGAAAAATAAAATCCCTTCGTATTCGGCATTAATGAAGGGCATCTTGGGAAGTTGAATTCTCGAAGAATAAACTGAAAGCATGAATTAAATTGATAAATTGCGATAGGTACTATTTTGCAGTAATCGCTGATGAACGGATATCATGCAATCTTATGTGTTTTGTGAAAAAAAGAGTATCCAACTGTGCTTGGAAAAGTTCCACGCATTTCAAATCCCGTTGAGGACCAAAAAATCTTCGAAAATGAAGCTCAAGTATTTATTAAATTTCAAAACATGAAACGCACTCTGTTCAATAATTTAATTTTCTTCCAGCTCGGCCATTTAGTTCGAAATTGCTGAGGAGTTTCTTTTATTAAAATTTGATGAATATTTTCTTGTACAGTATTTCCTATTCTGTTTTGGAAAATAGTAGCCGTGAGCCACTTTTTCATTCGAATGATGTCTATTATACAGTATACAGAAACTATTATAGGAAACTAAAGCTACCTATGCTCGGCAACATAAAATCGGAGTGCTGACGCATTCGGAGCGAATATTTATTCTGAGAGTAGGTCTGCTTTCTTCGATTTTCTCAAACTAATGGATTCAAGCAATAAATGCAGGAAAAAAATGAAAAAACCCGGTTTTCATTAAAAAAGGATTCGCGAAACTATTGAAAGGAAGACGAGTTCTTCCGTCTCATGAATATTCAATGGCATTGCATTTCTCTTCGCCGTTCCAAGTTATTTGGAATTTAAAGAAAATTTTCGGATAAGTTTAAAATAATAATTCAAAGTACATGGAATTTTTATGTGTTTTCGAAGCCTCTTTATAAGATACTCTAGCTTCCATTCTCCTGAAAAATGCAGCGCAAATTTTTCCTCCTCGTGTATTTCATTCAAAAACTCACGTTGATCATAATCCTGAGCTGTAAACCCGTGCATTTGTGCGTAGTATAAATAAATATTCAATGAGTCATACTGTGACCTTTTTTGTTTTTACAACCGCACACTTCAGAAAATTCGAAGCTTATTGCAGTTTCGTCTGTCCTCACTTTATTTGTCTACTATGGTCTCCTCGAATTTTAATTTGCCAAAAGAATGTTTCCTCATCAGAGCCAAGTTCTATAATCCTCCTCCTTCCAATTTAATATACGGAACATCTTCTGAGAAGTTCTGATCTATGCGAGAAAATGGAATTTCCTCCTGAATTTCCTTCAAATACACCTACCTGCTGGTTCAATCGAAAAGGTAAACTATGTACCGTACTTCATTCCGTTCAAACAGCCGACAAAGACTGCCGAACGAGGCAGAAGGAAAAAGCTCAGCACCGAACACGTATTCCACAACACATTAAATTGTTGCAGTTATGACCGCAAATAAAACTAAAGCTCTCGCGGAATTCTTTTATTTTTATCACTCTATACTAGGAAACCTCCTTCATCGCAATTACGACTCGATAAAAACTGCATTCCGCGCATACCTCCACGACAATACGCATTGCTTCACGGGTCATGAATCAAAACAATGCTACAAAGATTTCTGGCTATCCATTCAT